GTTCTCACACTCTATCACACAGCTCTGGTTCTCACACTCTAGTCTATCACACAGCTCTGGTTCTCACACTCTAGTCTATCAGACAGCTCTGGTTCTCACATTCTAGTCTAACAGACAGTTAATGTCAAACACATGTTGTCCTCTGTCATAGCTTCAGTTGTCAACTTGACACACTCAGGAACAGGCAACCTGAACTGAGAAACTGCCTCCTTTGGATGGGCCTGTGGGCATGTCTGTGGGGCAATTTCTTAATTGTTAATTGATGGAGGAGGGCCCAGCCCACAGTGCGCAGATGGTCCTAAATTGTATAAGGCCGCTGAACAAGCCAAACGGAGCAAGCCAGGAGCTGTGCTCCTCCATGTTTGTTTCAGTTCCCGCCTTGTAAGTCAAACCCTTCCTCCCCACGCTGGTTTTAGTCAGTGCTTATCACAGCAACAGAAACCATTATGAAAATATGGGCCAAAGTTGGGCCTAACAAACACATGTGAAAACATAAAGATCTAAGACAATAAACACGAAGATCTGAGCTATAAACAGGACTGGTTAACCCATTTAATAAAGCTGAAATAACAAAGTGTATTAGTTACCTTTCTGTTGCTGTGACTACAGACCGTGACAAAAAAGACTGACGGAATAGAGCTCATTGGAACGAGCAGTTACAGAGGGACAAGAGTCCATCGTGGAAGGAGGTGTGATAGGCAAGGGAGTCTGAGCAGGAAGCAAGAGCTCCTATCTTCAACTGTGAGCATAGCACAAAACAGAGTGTGAACACGGAGTGGGGCGAGACTGTAAACACTCAAAGCTGCCTCCGGTGATGTACTTACTCCAGCAAGGCTGTACCTAAACCTCCCCAAACAGTGCCACCAGCTGGGGACTGAAAGTTCAAATATATGAGCCTATGGGGATCATTCTCATTCACACCACTACACAAAGTGATGTTAACCATAGGCCAAGGCTGGGGGAAAAAAAAATCCAGCAAAATTATCACATTTAGCCAGGCAGTGGGGGTGCACGCCTTTAATCCCAGCACTTCGGAGGCAGAGGCAGGCTAGCCTGGTCTACAGAGTGAGTTCCAGGACAGGCTCCAAAGCTACACAGAGAAACCCTGTCTCGAAAACACAACAACAACAATATTATCACATTTATATTCAAGTCCACTAAAGGAAAGAACAGGGCTGGGGAAACGAAACGGTGAAGGGAGTCAGGTACTTGCATGGGGACCCAAGTTCAGATCCCCAAACCCAAGCAAAGCAGGATAAAGTAGCATATTTCTGTAATTCCAGCTCTGCGGTGAGAGGGGGGGCAGACAGAAGCCTCAGAAGCTGGCAGGCCAACCAGCACATACACAACATACACACACAACATACACAACAGAGCATCACAAGAGCTCCCATCTCAAACCAGCTGAAAAGGGAGGAATGAATGGAGCCCAAGATCATCCTGATCGTCCCATGTGCTCTGTGGCCCGTACGCGCGTGGGCGCGCGCGCACACGCGCACACACACACACGCACACACACTTCTAAAGAAAGACAAAAGTAGTGAAAATAATAATCTTTCCTATTAACTCGGGGGTGGGGTGGGGTCTGGTTCTAACCTAAGAGTTCTATGAGCATTAAAAACAAAGTTTAAGAAAATTCCAACATTAGCCGGGCAGTGGTGGCGCACGCCTTTAATCCCAGCACTCGGGAGGCAGAGCCAGGCGGATCTCTGTGAGTTCGAGGCCAGTCTGGGCTACCAAGTGAG